ATGGTGTACGTAGTTGGATAAATATAATTTGCCTAGTGCAAACTGCTCGGCACAAACTACTCGCGTGGTTATGTATTTATGTTACACGGTAGTGATAAAACAATTTACTTTTGGGTTTGTCATGTTAATTTTAAGCGTTGTTTTTAGTAATGTTATTTTGATAAGGAGGTTATCAATTGTGTTTATATTTCGGGTATAAATCGTTTTCTCTCATTGTCATATTAGCTAATATATCATATAGTAATAGGGAATCTATTTCTCATAAAATGTTTTTGTTTTGTCACACTCGCTCCTTAACGCAAGTGACTGCATACATGTGACGATCTGCGATCATGAATATATATGTTTTAGCATGTGGTATTTGTGATGAAACACATGAAACGTCAAATCACTTAATGCGCAGTTAAAATATCTTTTAGTTTAAATATATTATTATTGGCTGTTTGCAAAGTGTTATGTAATACAGTGTCATTATAAGGACATTATTGCATTCAGTAGTGTATAAAACACGTGCGAGAAACGATAACCTATCTATATATGCACATATTTTTAACATTTGCATAGTTTTAGTTGTGAATTACTATGCATGAGTTAAGGATGTACTGTGAATGGTAAACAAATGCTTTACTTGTATAAACGTGTGTCATGTCCGTTTCATATAACATTGACCTCTGTGTGCAAGATATATGGATTACACAGACTGAACTAACAAATCTGTTTCACACATTTATTCCTTTATTAATATGAAGCTGTGTTTATACTGAAATTCGTTAAAAAGGAAATATTTTAATTTCAGATATAATGATGATGTAGTTATCATTACGAATCCTACATTTAGTGATTATATTCCAATGACATACACAGTTGAACTTGAGAATAAGGAGACTATAGATTCTGCTTCTTCTGCCTCATACTTAGATCTGTGCCTTGAATTTCTTTCTCCGGTAACATTTATGAGTAATCACCATAACATCCGCGCACTGCATTGACGAATCAGTCCGGCTAGCTTTAGTACGGTGAGAGAAGTGCTGTGTTTAGCTATAGCACTCGTAGATGTTGTAACAAAATGCAATGAATGAGACTGTCTTCAGACTGTACCATGTTTTCACGAGTGTACTACCGGCTTGTCGTCAATAAACTTAAACAGTTAGCCGACATTAGAGAGAATGTTTTTAACTACTTGAAATAGACAGAATTCGTTGTTCGATATAGTGAGCACATTAATGTAAAAAAGCAAAAAAAATGTAATGGTACCGCTACAGTGTGTGTGCACTTCACGAATGCTACAACCATCTGGTTATAATTTATTGATGTGTTTAATTATATTAAGAAGGTCGGGACGCTGTAATCAATTGTTTTTTTTTATTCTCGTAATAATGTAATTTAAATAAATGAAACACGTAAATTCGTAGACATGAGCAATCGGCTGTTTTATTCGTCTGGAATTTGTACAAAGATATTAATTTTTGTAAAGCGTATAACGCATTTTCCAAAATAAATGTCGTAATTCGTACGCAATTTCCAATTTTGATTCTTAAACTCAAATTATAAAAAATATTATAAAAAATGTAATTAGGATGTTGCTTTATCTGTAAAGTGGAAAAATCAATGTTTTACTGTAAATGGAGCTTTCATTTTATTTCCTTTAAAAACGTAAAATTATGTTAAGAGCGAATGATAAGTTGTTTGGAGCATATGTTTCTGTTTAAAATACAACAGCTATATGCGTTTGTGATGGGAAATAAAACAAACACGTAAACTGGGTTAAACACGCCAAGCCCATAACAAGTCGGTTTTATGGGTTTGCCATCAAAGATTATCTTTCCGAGCAAACCTAATTAGAAAGACGCTGAGTCACACCTATTTAGAAAGACGCTGACCTTTTTCATCAATGTTTTTTGTTTTGTTTCTTTTTTTCACTAGGAACACAGATTCATGGGTGCTTTCACGATTCTCCCACAACAAAAGTATTGCGTCTAACGTGTAACTTGACGTGTAAAATTTATAGAAAATCAATAATTTACGACAATATATGTATACAAGTGTTGATATACATATATACAGATGTGTGTACGATTATGTTACAAACTTTCAAGGGCTACCATTAGAGGGCCACATGTCTATGCATACTATGGCCAAGAGAACATACAAGTACTTGGACCAGTTACACGTTTTTTATACAAAGATACAACTTTGTACATCGGTCGATGAAAGGAGAATCATCTGAGATAAATGAGACCAGCCCTAATGGCTAATTAGCTAAGGGCAACTAAAACTATTTGTATAATCATAGAAATATAAATTGTAATGTTTATGTTGTAAATGAGGTTCATGTAAAAAAAACTCTTTCCTATGCAACAATTTGTGATGAAACTATGATGGTTTCAATTGATTCTAACATTGATATTTATGTCTGTGGGTGCGTTTTCTAAAAGGAATATTTTTACTTCTGTTGTATGCACTGGACGCAATAGTACACTGCTTAATACTGGACAGATATGTGTTTCATCCATGTCTAGTTCATTATTACCAATTCATTTTGAAGCCGTAAACATAGGGATGGTTTCAAAAATAAGGTAAACTAACGCCAAAGGTAACGCCAAGACTCTCTATTTATTGACTACGCATTGATAAATTGTGTAAAAGTTAGTCTGCGAATCGGATATATAAAACAAGATAGCAAACTCGTAACCCTACTTGTGTAGAAAATCACTAAATTCATTTAATATTGTAATTAATACTGATATTGTAATTGTATTCATTAGATATCAACTTTGAATCCAGTCGATACAAATATTATTTATTTATCAAATGATTATACACACACACAAAGTGAAGTTCCAACAAGTTGCAGCATATAGTAAATGAAAGTTATACCACATTTGATCACTACGCTAGCTGTTGATTTATTTTTGTAAATCTACATATGACTTATTGTCCTCATGCTAATTGTAAACCGACCACAATTGTATTTATAATCAGAGTGTAATTGCTACCCATAACTGTGTTATATTTTGTAAACCACTTTTGTAAATCAGAGCTTGCACCTTGGCTGGGACTGAGCAGCTTTAATCAAAGTGTAAAGTCTGGAGTTGTAGAAGAAAATATTTAAAAAGTTGGCCAAGTAAGGGGTTCGAAATTCGACACGGCTATTGACTTTCTAATGGAGGTTTCTGAAAAAAAGTGGATGTTATGCATTGGAATATTCATGAGCAAATGACAAAGCGCACAGTCCATCTTTTGTATTAATTTTAATTAATATATGTTCAGCCGATTGGTGAATGTTTTTTTTTTTGGTGCTATAAGTTCAAAATACTTTCTCGTGGTGTTTCTAATACAAATATACTGTTTTACTGTTAATCTTCATTGACCATTTTGTATTTATTCTAGTTGGGCTGAATAAATTAGTGGTAAACTCTGACCACTACTATCAAAACACTACACTTTCTTTTTTTCGAATTTGTGGAATTCTTTCGTTTTTATGGAGGACAATGCAGTATTTTTAAAACATATTTATTAAAGTCATTGTTCATACATGAGTTTTTGAACACGCTGCATAATTTGCAATTTCATTCAGCTGTTCTCAGTCATAATTAAAACAAATTACATGCAAAAATATCGAAAATAAACAAATTATTTGTTTGTCTTTAACATTCATGTGTAATTATGAAAATTATTATTGGTGTGCGTATGGAATACATTTTGTTTTGGACTAATCATAATATATTTCTGTATTCAAGTCGGACACGAAAATCATGATGTTTCAGTTGTAACCAATGGTAATACCGTACACTTTTAATGTCATGATTGTTGAATAATAATGTTATAAATGAATAGAAGAACCATTGCCATGGAAAACAATGGTGATGAAGTCCGGCTTGATTGTCACAGAACTTGAAGAACGAGGAAATATTTTCGATGAACACAATGTTTTGTCACGGACAGTGACGTTGTGCTTAGGTTTTTGAACGTCTACGCAATCATAATGGTGTTTGCTACATCCGTATTGATATGTATTGTATCACTCTAATACGGATTAAGGGATAAACCAAACACTCTAGTGAATACTTACAGATAGCTTAGTCAGTTTCTTTTTTATAATCTTACTTACTTATTTACTTATGGGAACAGACATGAATAATATGTATCGTGTGATGCCTGTCAGGCGTTCTAATAATCCTGAGTAACGGCACGAGACCGAATGATTTGGAAGAGACATAACCTGTATAATTAATTTTGTCACATAATAGGTATAACAAATATATTCAACCGGAAGTTTGTTTTGGGGAGTACATGTCTGAAGCATACCGTGACCTCAAAATAATTTTCAAGATTTTAACATAATGTGTTAACATACAGTGTAACAATTTATCATTTATATGATGTACTACTCCGTAAAATATGAACCACAACACTACACCATTAATGATTTGAGGTTTTCTCTTTCTTGATATTTGTATACCTACATGGTTGTGCAGACAATCTCAACATCGATACATGTGTCTTTACGTTATGGCATTTGTATATCTATGCAGAGACAAAAAAGATGTAAAAGAAGTCAAAGAACTTCAGCTTTACCATATTTTTAAAGAACACAAAAGTATGATTGCCCCAGTTACTGTGTTACTCTTTTGTATCTAGTAGTCAATAAAATTAAATTAACAGTTTTTCGTACCTGGCTTGCACAAAGCAAACATTGATTTCTTTGACGTTTATCGCAGATGCATCTCCTCTTTAGACACTGTCTATGATTATATACAATCAATTTCAAATATGATGCTATAGAATAGATTATTAATAACTTATGTTTAAAAAACATGGCGTTCGTTATTGGTCCATTGTAAGTGTAAATTGTATGTGCATTATAAATCATTGTAATTATATCTGACATTTTGCTATGATATATAATGAAAATGATACTACTCTAATCACTGAAAAATTCAATGACAGACTAATGATCATGTATAACTAATCACCATAATAATAATTCTAAATTAGTATAAAATAAATTGAATTCGACATTGATGAAACTTGTGTATGTTCTGCCATTTGAATGACAAAGAATTATAAAAAAATCGTAATTAGAATATTGTCACTCATCGGATAAAAATAAAGTCATCTTATTGATGTAGACAATTATGTCTATTGATTAATGGTGTACCTGTCAATATTCTGAAAAGTAATTAAAATAATCCTCTCATTCACATACCCAAATAAATGCAGTGTATGATGCATCATCAATATATGCATGAGGTGTGAAGAATGTGGACAAGTTTACATCATGAACATATACTATCAATAATAGAAATTGCATTTTTTATAAAACCTGCGTGAACAATTGAGACCAAAGCAGCCGGTAACTTCCTACACAAATTCCAAATCCTGGTCTAGGTGGCGATGTAAACAATTGCGGGTTCATCCATTGCAGAATGGTGTTGGTGTTGTGTAATGTATGATGTCAGAACAACGGCATTGATACGAAGATGATTCTGTACCAGGTTGACTTATAGTCTTAGAGAAAGTTCAATTGTGTTGCTCTGTTCTGCCAGACCCGTTTTTCAATATTAAAATAGTCATTGCACTATATATATAAACGTACTAAAATGTCATAAACAGTTCCACATGAAATTACAATAAGTTACTAAAAATAGTGTTTATATACACATGATTCAGATTGGCCACACCCTGTTTATATTAGACATTTTCTTTCAAAAAATGGACAGACAGAAAGGAATTTTAAATAATCAATAATCAGTGGTTTTGTCTCAATTTTAATCTTCAGCCACTGCACATCATAAATTGTAATCAATAATGTCGAGATGTTTTTTCCTGGAACTTTACTTGATTGATTGCTCGAAATGATTACACATAAAATGAGAACATAATGAGTCATGCTCGACGTAAGAACGCCTTGTTATTAAAGTAACTGCCATCTGAGCGCTGCAATAACAGTTATTTCAATTGTACAGAGTAACATAACATGCAATATGATTGAACATTAAGCATGCTACTAAACCATAGTATTATTTATTGGCCTATGTATCTAGATTTAGGCAATATTGTTTCTGTTTAAGGACCGTGTAGATACATTATACACTCATCGAGAGACGATTTTTGCAACAAATTTAAAGAAACTGCTATACAAACGTAAATCTATGTCTTAATCTACCATAGCTAGAAAAATAGATATTCAAGTTATAGACCAGTTTTACACTATTGTGTAATTTCCAACTTATTTGATTTAATTGATATAACACGCAATATATAATTGATACATTTGGAGAAACTTTACTAAGTATTGTGATATTTTTACACCTAAGTAGATGATATTTATATGTTGTACTCCCATACATTTATTGGAACATGTTGCCAAGAAACTAAAATCACATTCGACAAGACAAGGCGTGTATACATATGTATATACATTTGCGAAGTACTTTTCGTAAGCTCGGAAAGAATAACACTTTATACACTAGTTTTAAAAAGCATATTATATTATATGATTACTCATGATATATCATCTTTTCAGTGCACATGCCATATCTTAGTATAGGATCAAAAGCCGACGGAAAATAAACAGAGGCTGAGACCATATGTTTATGTTTTGTCCAGGTTTCTACGCTGTATAGAGCCGAAAAATAACCAACAGCTGTTTAATTTAGGTTTAAGGAGCGAAAATTTACATGATTATATTTATCTTTATTTTATGTTGTATATTGCATTGCAATATCTGTTATTGAATGATCTTTCAGTTTATTTAACTATAATTTTAATTTTGTTTTATTGCTACTCATTACTATATTTTTTATGTTTTCATTTCTTAATGTTATATGTTTATTCTTTGTTATATTTTATATATTACATTGCAATTTATTTTAACTGTCATTATACTATACTTTCTTTTTTTATATTTTCTGTTGTTTTATATTGGCGTTGTTTATATGGTTTAAAATGCTTCAATCGTGTTACAGAAATGCCGACTTTGTTCTCATGTGTTTGGTAAGTCATGCCGTGACTTTCCAAGTTGGCAACTGTTTGCCAGAACATCATACACTATGGCGTTATTTAAATTAAACAGCTGTCAAGCTTAAACCGCCTCGCATCTATGTCCTTTCCCATAATGCATTGTATATATGTGCAGTAACATGCTCAATAGCTCAAAATTCGAATTTGAGCTCAAAAACTGCTTTATTGTATATTTGAGACAAACCATCATAACTATCTATAAGGAAAAGATATTGATCAGCGAATACTACACTAAAGATAATTCTACAATTACTTGTTGGAAAGCGCTTTTTTGATAGGATTCCCGTGGGCATTGTGACCATAATATGAACTTATTTCTGACATATATATGTGGGAAATATAATCGAAAGATTAATTGATTTCCCGTCCGTAAACATATGTCTATAAATCAATATATGTCTACTCACTTACTAGGTCAACGACGTGTTAGCTAATGAATCGGTCATTATGCATGCAAAACACATCCAGCCAATGAAACATCGTTGGTGCGACAAATAACCAATAAACATTCAGCTCACTAACGATGTCATGCGTTGATAGAATGTACTATGAGCGGTATACAACAGGGACACAGTAAAACCAATTTAAAGAGCGGTAGTCGTGCCACGCATGCGCGAGATATATGGGTCTCATATAAACAAAGATGGCGACTTTGACTGTTGGGCAGATCAACGAGTACAAACTGAGACATTTTTAGGTGATTGGAAGGTATCGAGTCACCGGTGGTAATCAGTGCAAGTTGCGCCCAGGTCAAACCTCATACTTGTGATTTCCATTTGAAGAGCGCATTTGATTGTGGGAAAATCAATGTTTATCAACACAAATGTCGCACATGCGCAGCGCGACGACCACACCGCGCTTTAACAGTCGTCGCAACAGTCATTCCGCATCATGGGTCCCATATCGGCGTATACAACGCATGTATAATTACGTTGTTTGCTTACATTATATTCGAACACGATATGCCGACTGTAGCGCATTAGAAATTATTCAATTTCTCCGGTCACATGACAAATATTCATATCGTTTTCTTGTTCTTCTCGTTTTACATGGTTGCGCATGTTCATATTTTTTTTTAATTAAAGCACCACAGTTGTGTTCGAAGTTGTCAAGTCTGAGACTGTACTACAGCTTTAAAACACCCTTTACTCATCAGTACTAAATATATCAATACGCGCCCTTTGATTTCTTTAAGGTGTCTTTGGTAAAATGAATATTGTAAATAAGTAGCTTGCATGTGTTATATACTGATGTCTGTCTTCTAGAACGTGTGTACACATAATAGAGACTATGGGTCAACAATCATAACCATGTATTATTTCTCGATAAAAATGCATATTACATAACACAGAACACCGCCTTTATCCCCGCTGGGTCTTTGGGACTTTCCATGTTCCTGGTGATCAGCGTGAGTTACTGCGCCCTTATCGACGGACTCAAACGCGAACTGATAGACAGGTACGTGATTATGTCAGATTAAATTGTGATCAGTCTGTAATTTATGTGACATCCACCCCCATTACACGCAGTAAATCATTAGCTTAATATTTTTTTAGAAAGACAAACGAAAACATCATTGACATTTACTGGTCACTCTCGGAAAAAAAATGGCGCTTACAATGATGGCAAGTCTGTTGGAATTTCGCGGTCACATGACTTTCGCGTTCGCCCCTCGTTTACGCAATATTTATTTTTCAAGAATTTTTCATCGGAATTGCAACAGACTGCAAGCAAGTCTATGCTTCTAACTGAACCGTATACTACGGCGAAATTACTGCTGTTAACTTAAATATACAGTGTGACGTTTATGAAAACGTCGCTTCCATCCACGGTTACTAGAACCATGGAGGTACCTCCATGCGAGAACCGTTCCATCTAATATATATTGGTCGTACATATTATAAATGAATTGCGCCACCAGTGTTTAAAGTAGCAATAAAAAATGTTTGGCGGTTATGGCTATTTAAAAAAAAGAACCGACGATTTAAACGAACTTGAGATACATTTTGATTCTATTGATCTATTGATTGCTTTTATGAAATTTGTTTTGAAAAATGCAAACATTTTGAATCGATTTCAATAATAATAATAATAATAATAATAATGATAATTTAATTAAATTTAAACAAATATTTCTCATCAAAATTATTACAGTAATATTGAAATTCTGGTTAATTATAATACAGATTCCTAGCAAAATAAATGTCATCTTTATATTGAATGAATAGTGAGTGGAGTAATTTGATTCTCGTCTCCATTTCACATAGGTTCTTTTCTGATTGTGATTAACGGTGATGAAGAATCAAGGAATCTTACTGAACTGGTGTCGAAAGACTGGCTTACGACGTGGGAGTACACCGACGAGAATACACTATGCTTGGCAGCGAAGGGGCGTATTTTTACTATCTTGGAAACTTTTAACGACGGTCAAAAGACGGCGATATTGAACTACCTGGATCGTGTACCATTCGTGTCGTCATTAGATGGTGTTCGAAATGTGTTGGTTCTCGGGTGCACTGGTGATTCTGACGTGACTTGGTATATCGAGGATAATCCCTTACTTAAGAAATGTGAACTTGACGCGGACCATGTTTGTGCAGATATCAATATGTTTACTAGTTTTGATTATGATATGAAACCCGGAGTGCGCGCGAACGAAGCTACAATTACTCTATTTCACGAGTGTCCGATTCAAGTCTGTGAACGTCAAGACATTGAGCGTACAATATCAGATGATTTGCTTCGACTGATTCAGAAAACTACGAACTCAAGATTTAGACACGTGTTTGACAGTGTTATTATTAATTGTCATTGCAGTGATTGTTTTAACACAGTCATTGACTCACTGGAGGACATAACGATCAAAATAGGGAAACAACACGCTGGATCGATTAGAGAACACCTCGCACGGAATATCAATGAAAACCAGCCGTGGGTGATTCTCCCCTCAGAGGATTCTCGTAATTTCTCGCATGTTACAGATGTCGATGTTCTCAAATTATATATTTGGAATGCTATACAATCAACAAAATTGCCGCTGCGTTCTCCCACTAATGGTTTTGCGAGGAAGGTGTTTTTGAACACGGTTTCGTGTCTGTCCTCGGTTCATTTCTATTTACTACCAATTAAAAAATCGTGTCTCACATTGAATGTAACTGTTAAGCTACTTCGGCCCTTAGAAAAAAACTGTAGCCGGCTGTTAGCGCGCATTATTATGACGAGCTGTCGGAACAATGAATATTTGCATATCACATTACCGACAATATGGCCGTTCATCCCTGATTAAAATGAAAATATTTCCTGAAAACTCGATTTTTTTAAAATTTTTAATGTGAATTATAAGTATACTTGTTTCCACATAGTTAAATTAACGACTCTGTTTCGAATATAATATAAATAAAACCACAGATTATATGATGTGGCGCCATATTGATTAAGTTTTGTGTCAATTCATATAAATTCCTATCGAACATTAACAAAGCATACTTACCTGGGGTAGGGGTCAACCATGATCATGGAGGCGGTTCCCTCAGGGACAGGCCCTCCCATTGCTCTCCGGCTGGGCGCATAATTTATGTTAGTGGGGGACTGTGTACGCGCTATCCCCTGATAATTAAAAACAAAAGTAAAGCCTCTCTACTTTGCTTACCAACCAAGGTATTGCAAGTTGGTGTAGATAGGAGATTTTAGAATGTAAAACAGGCTCCAATGTGGTTTATCTGATCAGAGTGCTTTGCAAAATGGCTTTTGATAACCGAAAGGCGTTAATTACTTTTCTGGTGTATAAAATCATGACCATGTATAAACAACACATTTTGGATAAATTCCATCACATTAGCATGACAATCGCCTCAGAGTTGTATATGACCACACTAGCGGTAATAGGTGTTACTGGAACAGCGACCATTTATGTAAATTCAGTCAACGCTCTACGATGATTTAAATTCGTCTCTCTCATACGTTGAAATTGGGGTTAAAAGGTGTTACTGCGGTTAAAAGCTTCAAAATGGACGATTGATAAACAAGATATAAAATTAGTGACCCAACAATGTCGCGTTTAATAAACGAGTGTAGTTATTTTATTTTTCGGAAACCATTATGAGATATCTATTATAGAACGAGAGAAGTACGTGTAAGTAATTACATGTACTACCAAACACACATTCACATAACTACACTGCAGATCTTTACTCAGCAATTGTACCAACCGTTAATGTTGCCGGTAATACTGCAAAGCAAGACAGACAACTTACTGTGAAATACACGTGTTCAGTTCTTCTTCCATTTTACTGAGGAAGTGAGAATTATTAGTAGACAAAACGCCTAGAGATACAAACATGTAAGAATGCTCTTTCATAGATGAATCTGTGGTTTCCATGCTTGTAACACTGTCGGCAGTACACGCGTTGTAAGAGTATTCTGTGACCTGCTTGCCCTGGATTACTTCAAATAAATACAGGGTTTAGTTTCCTTGTAACATTCAATATTTTGTTATACGTTATAAGTCACGGACCCTGCATCGGTCTATATCCGCCTGTATTTGCAATTGCTTATGCATATACAACATAATGTAGATGAAGTAACGATGCAGACGGGGTGTAAGACACTGCTTTTCGCATTGATAAGTTGCTGCGAGTATTGTAGCATACCTAGTCGCCTAATGGTGCATACGTCAGACGAACAATGTGTTATTTATAAATCTGACCTCTTAATTTCAGATCGATGTATCGATGTAGGACGAGAAGAATTATACCGTGAGAAATGAATGCCGTATGGCACAGGAACACGTGGATGCCTCTAGCTCTTCTATTGTTATCAAGACAATGATCTTATCATCACTTAGCTATAGTAAGTTAAATACAATATGAAACTATAAATCGACCGTAAATGCCTTTAAATTTTGAGTAAAGTCCAGCGAAATGATTCTCATCTTTCACTGAATTATCTCCCTCGTGGGACTGAAAATGCCTTTAAACCCATAGTTTTGACTCAAATCATACGCAATGATTCTCATCTTTCACTGAATTATCTCCCTCGTGGGACTGAAAATGCCTTTAAACATATAGTTTTGACTCAAATCAAACGCAATGATTCTCATCTTTCACTGAATTATCTTCCTCGTGGGACTGAAAATGCCTTTAAACCCATAGTTTTGACTCAAATCAAACGCAATGATTCTCATCTTTCACTGAATTATCTCGCTCGTGGGACTGAAAATGCCTTTAAACATATAGTTTTGACTCAAATCAAACGCAATGATTCTCATCTTTCACTGAATTATCTTCCTCGTGGGACTGAAAATGCCTTTAAACATATAGTTTTGACTCAAATCAAACGCAATGATTCTCATCTTTCACTGAATTATCTTCCTCGTGGGACTGAAAATGCCTTTAAACCCATAGTTTTGACTCAAATCAAACGCAATGATTCTCATCTTTCACTGAATTATCTTTCTCGTGGGACTGAGTTTACCTGTACAAGTAATATGACAATTACAGTTGATCTTATAGATAGTAATATAGTACAAAATATTACATCGATACGCGTTATTTATTTAACGACACGAATGTTTGTGGAAACATTGTATACGTTTATATATATGTTTTATATATAATTTCATTATTTAGCTATCTCTCTAGTGATGTTTTCAACATCAGTCAAATAAGCACCAAAACACGGAACAGAGCGGATGCAAATAAAATCTATAAATTCGCGCCCAATCCAGAAATGATTTGCAGCCTATGTAGTTTCATTAGTCATTCACCGTGAAATATATAATTACAGGATATAAACTGACTTAGCATGCTTCATCACCTCGCTTCAAATGAATCAGTATCGGACGCCATTAATATTATATATGATGATAATTTCACATTACGTCGTTTGTAATCACTATACATTTGTACGTATGACAGGATACATACACTCATAGACCACCATTGCACGTACATTATATACTGATCTGATGCGCTCTCGTAAACTTAATGTTATGTACATAATCATACAAGGCTATTTACGAGTCGCGTCAGTTCTGTGCTGATCGTTTATTTTCGTAGAGAGGTAGGGTATACAATGTTTGTATCATATTTGGTGTTTTGAACGTAATTGCATGGATGTCTGGCGGTCATATTTGTATATAGTCGCCCACCAATGAAATACTATGTAGAGTGTCTGTGTTCATCAGGCTACTACAATTATTTGTTTGTTTTACTCGATGCGCGCCAACAACATAAGCGTTGTAATTTCTCCTATAGTATGTGTCATATATATAGACACTATAGATATATAGTGTGTATGGAAATCACAATCTAAATAATAGAAATATTTTACGTGATTCATCCAACTACCTAGACTAATTGCCGGCGAATATTCAATTATCTATCCCACGTAGTGTAACTATATCAACTCTGAGGCGAGTGTTATACAGAGTTTGTGTTGCGCCTTTGCTTGCTTTATGTAACAATAATATATGAAATATGTACGTATTACATTCAGTTAATATTCGATTGTTCTGCATTTCCTGAAATTGTCAGAATTGTTTTATTGTCTACAACAACTATCAATGAATCAGCAATGTGACCTACATTTGTCCGTGTACGATTATGAATGCTTCATTCTATAGTTACGGTGGCTGGATACTGCTATGAATGGCGTCGGTAGTATTGGTTTAGTGTTAATATTATAATGTGATATTTTAAAATGACAATTTCTCTATTTATCACATAAATCCTGCGAGAATATTAACATACTACACCACGCTTGGGGAAAGTGAAAAGAGTGTGTTTATGTACAATATTGACAATATACTCTCTATTAATTGCGATTTTTTAATTTTCACGTGTGAGAATAAGCGCAACATGTGTTGCAATATGAAACAAAGTGCTTATTCTAAAATGTGGTATTATTTTCATTCCGTTGTTGTGACAAACATAGTTTCTACACAGTGAAAACATTTTTTTTAAATACTAGCGTCACGTGATTTAAATTTAATAAAACACATAGATATCACAATTCCACTATGATAATACCATATATCACATCACAAAGATAGAACTAACATTGGATTGACATCGATGTTCTGCAGATTTAATATTGCCTGAGTTTTTTTATCTTCGAAAAATTCAATAATGGATATATATACACTATCTACACAATTTGAAACATAAATATGATTCAAAATATGGTTCAATCATGAAGCGTAGAATATTCTCAATCACAAAATATATTTGCTGTTTTCATTTATTAATGTAATTTCAGTGGGATAAATTCAACGAAGAGTATAACACTGTGACATCCGACCATCGAGAAGGATGTGGTTCCATGTAGCCAACGGAAATGCAAATTAAGTCAGTCATCCAACTTTATCGCATTATGGCCCCGGGTAAAGTATGCTTTCATAAATGAGCTGCCAGATAAGCGAACAAATGTGCCCCTTGATCTGTGTAATGTATAAATAATAAATAAACACGGTAGTGTCTGTTACATACTTTATGCATTTATGTATCCTTTTAGACCTTGTCTAGGTGTGATTGAAATGATATGCGTCTAAATACATAATGTATAATGTAACAATCGATACACGGTCTCTTCCATATTTGCATCTTTTGGCGCAAATTAGTTTTTTTTCAGTTTATAATACATGCCGATTTACCCTGTCATTGAAACGGAATCAAGATGCGACAGTTAAATTTATATTAACGTATCGACCTTGTTAAAAAAACTCACCTTTGAGCTGGTAACATTGTGGAAATTCACTAGCTCGGGTTATTTTATTTGTGACTCGAAACCTAGCTTACAATTTTCCCGTGCATGATCAAAAGGAGAAACAATATTCACTCAGTAAATAAAAAAATAAACATTCGAAACGCGGTTTGAGAATTACTGTTCAGTACGAGTGTTAAATGACTAATCGAGTCTGTCTGCTCCGGTGTACTGTTGCATAACTGATATCCGTAAATTC